AAGAGGATGATGAAAAAGGTTATTTACAGTAAAGATAACTTCATAGTTGAAGTAAAATGAACGTCTTATAGACAAAAACTTTTCTAGGGAGCTCTTTTTCAATGTGATCATAAAACAATGGCTCTTTAAAGAATAAGTAATACTATGTATCATCAGTAATGATTAGTGATGGCAAAAAAATCCGTCTTGCCTCGCCCCGCCTCGAATGGGGCAAAAAAACCCGCCTTGTCGCTGGGCACGAGGCGGGGCGGGGATGTAAAAAAAAAATAAAATAAATAAAATTAAACGTGGTGACAAATGGGGAGTAGCCTCGCCCCGCCCCGTTTGAGACGGGGCGGGTCGCGGGGCGGCGTGGGTGGGGCGTTGCGGGGGCGTCCCGCTCCGAACCCGCCCCACTGCCATCTCTAGTAATGATCATCATCTTTTATTAGACAATGAAACAATGGACCCAATGTCACCTAAAATCATGATAATCATTTGATAGATAACATTATGGGCAAATTACAACTACGCATGATTTTTAACTTCCAATTTCACCTAAAATCATGATGATCATTTGATAGATAACATCATGGGCAAATTACAACTACGCATGATTTTTAACTTCCAATTTCAAAAGCAAGGTTTAAAAATGATTTATTCAAAAATTAGGTGACACTTTAGTTTTTAAATACTAATATTAATATTATTAAATTAAATTAATTGAAAAGGAAAGGTGTATCGTACCCCACTTAGAACCCCCTTTCTTTCTCTCTTCCATAATTTCTCCTCAATCAACTAACCCAAAATCTTTCCCTTCTCCCACTGAAATGTTCATTATCTCACACAATCACTCGATTACATCTTCTCAAAATCAACATCCTTCCGACGTAGTCTACAAAAGAACAATAATTGGAGTCGTGGGTAGAACGATGATAGCAAGACAAATATCGATGATGACGAATTCCTTGGAAAGAATTGGAATTGGCGAAAGAGATTTAGTGAAGAGATCTTTGGCTTCTTTGATTTACCCGTTCACACATTGTTCGCTAAAACTGCATGCCGTAATTGAACGGGTCGCGTTCAAGTAATAAAGTGGACTTTTTGAGTTCGAATTGTCAATAATCCCTCGAGGAATGTTTACTTTCGATTACACAACTTTAATTAATTTAATTCTAACAATAAAAAAGAACACGCAATAAAGATTTGATTTTGGAAGAGAACTAAAAAAATCTACAAAATAAGAAAATGTAAAAATCTTGAAAATTTTAGAAGCAGACATGACTGGGATTCATGATCTCATTTAAACGTCACCTGATTAATTTTAGTCAATTAACAAATTACTCATTTACAATATTACACCCGATTTTTTAATTTTAGTTAATTACCTCTTTCGAGCGCAATTAATCCTAATTGATTGGTTTAACCTACTATATCTCTATGTCGATTAAAACCAAACAATCGTATTAAATATTTGTGAAAATAAATCAAAGGGTTACCTAGGACTAGAGGTATATCTCTATCCCCTACACAATCCTAGGGTTTATACTATTTGATCTAAAATGCACCATCTTCTCTCTGATGATGTACAAATCACTAAACATAATTATACATTGGCCACATAAATGAAAATGCAATAATAACAATAGTAAAAACACATTAATAAATAACTTAATATTAAAGGGCATTATTAAACTTAATTAAAACTAAGTTAAACTAATAATACTACAAATCTCAATACAAGAAATTAGCCCATATTATATGTATGATAATAAAGATGAATATTCATCCAATACATCACAAATGATAGAAAATAATAAAGAAAAATACAAGATTTAAGATAAAATCCTTTTTGGTTGGATTTGCTTAAATCTTGAGTTCCTCAATTAATCTCCATCTTTAGTTATTTTATTCTCCTTGTTGTACTCCTGATTTGCGCCAAAATGCCAAGTGATTGAAAAGGAAATAAAAGGAAAAAATGAAGAAAAGAAAAAGAAAAAGAAAAAGAAAAAGAAAAGCAAAAGCAAAAGCAAAAGCAAAGTAAAAGAAGAAAACCGGCAGAATGAATCAGCAAGAAATCCAGATTTAGTTTTTATGTTAAAACCTAGAAAATTTGTAGCTAAGTCTCTGGGCTTTCAAAAGTTGGCAAAAGGGTCCCTAAAGATGAAATGAGGCATTGTGGCGTCGGAAAGGGACACTATGGCATTGGCGCCAAGGCACGGGTCTCCCCATATTTGCACACTTGGTCCCTCAACTTTGAACTTGTACAATTTGGTCCTCGAATCTTGACTTTCTTTCAATTACACCCTCCAAAATTTTTATTATGAGTCCTCCACTTCCTACCGTTGTGCATTTGGGTTCCCAACTTTACAAATTTGTACAGTTTTAGTCCATTTTTCCTCATTTTGCCTTGCTCTCATTCCATGGGTGATTCTCGACCTACAAAAGCAAATGTTACCTAAATGTGAGTAGAATTTCATTCATTTAATCAATTAAAAGTATATTTAGGTATTAAATGTGTGTGCAAAAATACACTTTTCACACATCATCTCTGTTGCTATAACTATTTCTAGTCACGACTAAGCCGACTCTCAATCATGCCTCAAACGCAATAGTAAATTCTAAAATTCGATATATGCTTTTGTCTACTTCAATTGATGTAGCGTGCCTAAAAAAATGTGACGGACTAGTGTGGTTTCTGTTGGCGACTGAATCATGATGCACTAACGGTGTCTACTTCAATAAAATTGGTGGTTGCCAAATTTGTTGGCGAGTTTTTCAATTTTGTTTGTTGGCCAGATTTGTTGGTGGTGGCCTATTCAATTTGTAGTGCGATGGTGTTGGGGTTACTTGATAAGTGCGGGTTTTTGCACTACTCCAGGCCATTAAACATAGATATTTTTGAGTTTTATTAGCGATTTATTACTTAATTTAGTTATTTTTATTGTGTAGGTGAAAACCCGACTTTGAACGATGATTAGAAGATATTTATGCAAGAAAAGATGAAAAAGATAAAGGAAGCATGAAAACATTGAAAGAGGATATTTAAAAAATAAAAAATAAAAAATAAATTTAACGAGCTGGTTCAAAGATTGAGTAAATCTAGAGAGCTTGTTCTAGGTTGTTTAATGAATAGGATTGAGTAAAGAACTTGTTTCATTTGACTAACATGTAAGAAGAGATTGAGGTAACTGAGCTTATAATTATTCTCGAATTGTTGTTAATCTTGAGAACGAAAATCTATTGTGGTAATTGACTTGAAAATCATTATCGTGGTGATGAAATATCCCCCAATCACATTTTCTCGCATTCAATCAAGAACCACTTTGTTTGTTTCAGATTACAAGTCTCTTCTACTTTAAATTTATCGTTTTCCTTAGTTCAACAAACCAAAACCCCTCATTTAATCTATTTAATCTATTATTATTAATTTTACTTTTTAGTGGGCAATTGACATAATTGAATCAATCCTCTGCGGAAAATGACCCTTACTTGCCATAATACTATTTAAAAAGACACATTTAAGTTAAGTAAGAAAAATTAATTGGAACATATCAATTTTGGCGCAGTTTTGCTAGGGATTGTTCTATCAATTTGTTAAGTGCAATATTTTTCTTTTTATTGTTTTTCTATTTATTTTTGTTTTTTTTCTTTGTCATTTAGGTTGTGAATGAGCAAAGAGCCTATAACACACTACAACCTAAGATCAAGAAAAGAAGCCGACACATTGGAAAGTGGAGAAGACATTTCTCCAACTAGACATCTAAGGCGATTGAGCATTGATCCTCAAGTGACTCCGAACACATAGAGCCCGAAATGCCGGATGCAAATCGGACCTTAAAGGAACTTGCAGCTCCAATTTTTGTTCAACAACCTCTATGCATTCAATATCCTCAAGTGGAGGTGGATTTGAACTAAAGTCCGGGATGATTCATCTACTTCCCACATTTCATGGATTCGTCGGAGAAGATCCAAATAAGCATTTGAAGGAGTTTCATGTGGTTCCCTTTTTCTCTTGCAGACACTGCTAAGGAATGACTATTATTTGCTGGTCGGTCTTATTACTACGTGGAATGAAATGCAATAGCTCTTCTTGGATAGGTATTTCCTAGCTTCAAAGGCTACAAATATCAGAAAAAAATTTGTTGCATTCGACAATCTCAAGGAAAAAATCTCTATGATTATTGGGAGAGATTCAAAAGGCTATGTGCTAGTTGCCCAAACCACCAAATTAGTGAGCAATTACTTCTATAATATTTCTATGAAGGATTGCTCCCGATGGAGAGAAGTATGATTGATGCGGTATGTGGAGGAGCTTTAATGGATAAAACACCGGCAGTTGCTAGGGATTTGATAGCCAACATGGCGCAAACTCACAACAATTTGGTAGTAGAGAAGCGACACCGGTTAAACAAGCAAGTGAGGTAGGAGCAACCTTTCAAATTGAACGATAATTAGCCGGTCTTACATCGCTTGTGCAGCAAATGGCACTTGGGACAATGCAACAAGCAAAAGTCGGTGGGATTTGTTCTATTTTGGGACATCATACCAAGGCACACCCAACACTACAAGATGGAGCCTCAGAGCAAGGGAATGCCATTGGGGGATTTCCAATGCAATAGAGATAGAGATATGATCCATATGCTAACACATATAATCCTGGATTTAGAGATCATCCTAATCTCAATTGTGTAGGAAATCATTTCATAGATCCATAATCATAGTTTAATCATCCCCCGGGCAAACACCCTCAACCTCGTCAACAAACTCCGCCTCAAAGTTCAGAAATGTCTCTTGAGGATATGGTTAAGTCCTTGGCTTCTAGTACTATACAATTTCAATAAGAGACAAAGACCTCAATCAAGAATTTGGAGACACAAGTGAGCCAATTGGCCAACACGGTGGGTAAATTGGAGGCTCAAGGATCGGGAAAACTTCCTTCTCAAGCAATCAACCTGAGAGAAAATGCTAGCGTCGTGACACTAAAAAGTGGAAAAACTTTGGAAGTGGCACCAAGGAAAATGAAAGATCAAATTGAGGAGTCAATGCAAGAGAAGAATTTAGCATGTGAAAAAGATGAAGCTACGACTCCAACTGCGGGAACTAAGGTAGAATCTAAAAGTTCTGTTCCTACTTATGTTCCCTCCCTTCCATTTCCTAGCAGGTTTGCAAAGTCTAAAAAGGATGAACATGAGAAAGAAATCTTGGAAGCTTTTCGCAGGGTTCAAGTAAACATACCACTTTTGGATGCAATTTATCAAGTGCCTTGTTATGCAAAGTTTCTCAAGGATTTGTGCACTAACAAGCATAGATTGAAAGGTAATGGTGTGGTAAGTGTAGGAAAAAATGTCTCAGCAGTCTTGCAAAAGAAACTTCCACCAAAATGTAAGGACCCTAGAAGTTTTACCATCCCTTGCATTATTGGTAACACTAGGTTTGAAAAGACAATGCTAGATTTAGGAGCATGTATTAATGTCATGCCATATTCTATTTATGCTTCCTTAAATCTAGGATCACTTAAAGAAACCAGTGTTTTTATTCAACTTGCTGATAGATCTAATGCATTTTCAAAGGGTGTGTTGGGGGATGTTTTGGTACAGGTAAATCAATTGATTTTTCCGGCAGATTTCTATGTTCTTGACATGCAAGATGAACCAATATCTTTATCACCACCGTTGCTCTTGGGAAGACCATTTATGAGGACTGTGCGTACAAAGATAGATGTGCATGATGGTACATTGACAATGGAGTTTGATGGTGAGATTATTCGCTTCAACATCTTTGAAGTAATGAGGTATCCTTAGTGATGTTCACGCTTATTTTTCAATTGATATAATAGATTCATTAGTACAAAAAGTTTTTGAATTATCAAATGAAGATGCATTGGATACCACTTTGATTAAAAGCATTGATGCTAACAATCTCACCAGGTTGAGCAAAAATTTACAAGTGTGCAAGGATGTTGTTGAAATCGCGCATCACTTGAGTCACTACCAAGAATATCACCAAGGTATGATCTCTCCTATATTACTCTTCCGATATCTAAAGAGAAACTTTTACCTTCGGTGATGTAGGCCCCTACTTTGGAACTCAAACCTCTTCCTAAGCATTTGAAGTATGTATATTTGGGAGAAGGAGAAACACTACTGGTGATTATTGCAAAGAATCTCACAACACTTCAAGAAGATATGCTTATCCGTGTGCTCAAAGAACACAAAATAGCTATTGGTTGGACAATAGCCGATATCAAGGGGATAAGCTCTTCTATGTGCATGCATTGGATATTGCTCGAAGATGGAGCAAAGCCATCAAGAGAAGCACAACGTCGCTTGAATCCTCCCATGATGGAGGTGGTGAAGTAAGAAATTTTGAAATTGCTAGACGTTGTTGTCATCTTTCCCATCTCCGATAGCAAGTGGGTAAGCCCGGTCCAAGTTGTTCTAAACAAATCTGAAATCACAGTGGTGATGAATGAAGAGAACGAGCTTGTACCAACTCGGCCCCAAACGGGTTGGAGGGTTTTTATTGATTATAGAAAACTTAATTGTGCAACCCGAAAAGATCACTTTCCTTTACCCTTTATTGATCAAATGTTGGAAAGGTTAGCAGGTCATTCTCATTATTGTTTTCTTTATGGTTATTCAGGTTATAACCAAATTGTAATTGCTCCGGAGGACCAAGAGAAAACAACATTCACTTGCCCGTTTGGCACCTTTGCTTATCGGCGCATGCCCTTCGGCCTTTGCAATGCTCCCGCAACCTTTCAAAGATGCATGATAAGTATATTCTCCGATTATATTGAAAGCATCATTGAGGTCTTTATGGATTATTTTAGTGTTTATGGTAATACCTTTGATAGTTGCCTAGAAAATCTCACACTTGTGCTTAAAAGATGTATGGATACTAACCTAGTACTTAATTGGGAAAAATGTCATTTTATGGTTGATCAAGGCGTAGTGTTAGGCCATGTCATTTCTTTCAAGGGGATAGAAGTAGATAAATCTAAAATTGATCTAATTTGTTCTTTACTTCCTCCAACAAGTGTGAGAGAGGTTCGTTCTTTTCTTGGACATGCAGGATTTTATCGAAGGTTTATCAAGGATTTTTCCAAATGTGCAAGACCACTATGCAGGCTGTTGCAAAAGGAGGTGCCATTTCACTTTGATGAAGATTGTAAAAAGGCATTCGAAAGCTTAAAGGAACTTTTGACATCGGCACCCATCATTCAACCACCAGATTGGAACATGCCATTTGAGTTGATGTGTGATGCAAGTGACTTTGCATTGGGAGCCTTTTAGGACAACGAGTTGGAAAGACGCCTCATGTTATATATTATGCATCAAGAACTTTGAATGATGTCCAACTCAATTATTCTACAACTGAAAAAGAGCTTTTAGCAGTTATTTTTACCTTAGAGAAATTCCGTTCATATCTTATTGGCACTAAAGTAACTGTCTTTTCTAATCATGCAGCTCTTAGGTACTTTCTTGCCAAGAAAGAGGCAAAACTAAGACTCATTAGATGGATACTCCTCTTACAAGAGTTTGACCTTGAGATTGAAGACAAAAAGGGGAGTGAAAATTCTGTGGCCGACCACTTGAGTTGCCTTATCTATGAGAGAGAAACTCTCCCATTGCAAGAAAGCTTTCCCAATGACCAATTGCTTCTCGCCACGGACACATTTCCTTGGTTTGCGGATATAGTGAACTATTAGTCACTAAGAAAATTCCAAGTGACTTGACCACCGCTTAAAGGCAAAAACTCAAGGCTATGGCCAAGTATTTTGTGTGGGATGAGCCGTACTTGTGGAATACCTGATCAATTGATAAGAATGTACGTGCATGAAAATGAATTTCATTCAACTTTTACCTTTTGTAACTCCTATTCATGTGGTGGACATTTTGGAGCAAAAAGGACTGCTCTCAAGGTGTTTGAAAGTGGATTCTATTGGCCCATCCTATTCAAAGATGCATTCCTCTTTTGCAAATCTTATGATCGATGTCAAAGAGTAGGTACGTTGGGAGCCTGAAATCAAATGGCACAAACACCCGTACTTTTTGTTGAAATTTTTTATGTTTGAGGCATTGATTTCATGGGACCTTTCCTTTCATCTTATGGTAACCTTTACATCATTCTTGCCATTGATTATGTGTCAAAATGGGTGGAAGCAAGGGCCACTCGAACTAATGATTCTAAAGTGGTTGTAGATTTTGTTACATCCAACATTTTTGCAAGGTTTGGAACACCAAGAGCTATTATTAGAGATGGAAGACTACATTTTTGCAACCACTCCTTTTGGGCTCTATTGAAAAGATACAACATCACCCATAAAGTGGCTACACCTTATCATCCGCAAACTATTGGGCAAGTCGAAGTGTCTAACCGAGAGGTCAAATCTATAAACTATGAATCCCAATAGAAAGTATTGGAGTCTCCGCCTCAATGATGCACTTTGGGCTTATAGGACGACATACAAAACACTGATTGACATGTCCCCTTATCGGTTAGTTCATGGTAAGCCTTGTCATCTCCCGGTTGAACTCGAACACAAGGCATTTTGGGCAGTCAAGCAATGCAACATGGACCTAGGTGTAGCGAGTGATCAAAGAAAGCTTCAACTCAATGAACTTGAGGAAATTCGAAATGATGCTTATGAAAGTTCAAGAATTTACAAGGAAAAAACTAAGGCGTACCATGATAAAATGATTTCAAGAAAGGCTTTTGTTGTTGGACAAAAAGTTATTTTCCACTCGCACCCTAAGTTATTTCCAGGTAAATTACGTTCTCGATGGATTGGCCCTTTTGTTGTTACTAATGTCTTTCCTCATGGTGCAGTAGAAATCAAAAGCCTTCAGTCTGAGAAAGAGTTTAAGGTAAATGAGCATCGATTAAAGCCATATTTTGAACCTTTCATACCACAAAAATGGAGGAAATGCGATTGGAGGATCCGATCGAAGAAGCATGAGAGATGACATTTATTTTTGTTTTTGTGAATTTTTGTCGCCAATGGTCCCCAACCATCATCACAGCCATCATCGTCATCACCACTAGGGGAGTATTTGAACCTCTTGCGCTTTCTATTTCTTTTTGCTTTTACATTGAGGACAATGTGCAATTTAAGTTTGGGGGTGGGGTGGTATGTGCTAAATTTTTTGTGGAATTTTGTGGTTTGTGCTAATTTTGTTCTTGCTAAAAATTTAAAAATTCATGTTAAAAATTTTTGTAGAATTTTGTGGTTTGTGTGTTCTCGCTAAAAACTTAAAAATTCGGGTTAAACACTTATTTATTTATTTTATACTCGTTTGTGTTGTTTCATAGTTTTGCCAATTGCATTTTGAATATTGCATTGCATTGATTTATGAATTGGGAACATGAATGCTATGTGTTGTTTATTTTCATCCACTTATTCCATGATTGACTCTTTATTGAGCACTTGGGTCATGAGATTCATCACATGTACTTGTTGGTTGCACTTGTAGGTTGTTAACGAACTTAAGTGACCATGCTATTAGAAATTCTTCAATTACTCTACCAATGAAAGGATAAGTGTGGGGGTGGTTGAACCTGTGAAAGAAATTATTTAGAATTGTATAAATTCCCAACTCAGTGATTGATTTTGTGGAATGTTCTTAGACTTCAAATGAAAGTTAGATGTTGTTTTCCATCTATTAATATCTCATAAAAAAAAAATCTGCAGGAAAAAGTTGCCTACCCTAAGGTGTGTGAGTCAGCATTGAGTAATCTGGCCCTATGCATCACCAATGTGTAGGAGACGATCTACGAATGAAGAAGCTACCCTTTGGGACCAGAGCGAGAACTACCTACATTAGAAAAATGAAGAAAAATAAAAGGGATGCTATAAGCATCTAAGGTGATTTTGTTGAAGAATTGATCGATTGTGAGTAATTTGCCTAACATAAGTTTGTGGTCTAAGCACTCAAAATTTTTGATGAATTAATACATGACTAGATGATCTATTTTTTCGGTTCAACCCAACCAAATTTGAGAGGGAAAGGTTGAGTGATTTGAGGGCAACCTTAAGTTTTTGACACCTTAGGCTAGAATGAAAATATCAAGTTTGGGAGAGTGTACATCCCACAAGTGGGAAAGGAAAATTTGACCATTGAATTGCGATGAATTGGAATGACCACACACACACACAAGTCAAGCATGGTATAATTTAAAGAGTGTTTGTTGTAGCATTTTTGTAAACATTTCATAAGTGCATAATGTAAGGCTTGAAGCAAAGTGGCAAACTATGTAAGAGTTCGAGTGTTTGTTATTATAGTATTATCGTTTGGTTTTAATTTACGTGTTTGTATGCTTGTTTGTATGGCTTTGTTCGAGGACTAACAAAGATTTAAGTTTGGGAGTGTGATAAGTGCGGGTTTTTGCACTACTCCGGGCCATTAAACATAGATATTTGTGAGTCTCATTAGCGATTTATTACTTAATTTAGCTATTTTTATTATGTAGGTGAAAACCCGACTTTGAACGATGATTAGAAGGTATTTATGCGAGAAAAGATGAAAAAGATAAAGGAAGCATGAAGACGTTGAAAGAGGATATTTCAAAAAAAAATAAAATATATTTGTCCAGCTCGAGTAGATACAGAAACTGTGACGCCTAGGCACCACCCGAGTCATTTTTAGTTGTTTTCAAAGTGTCAGGACCAATATTGCAAATTTCTTTAGGTTTTATGTTAAAACATTCAACCAAACACAAGATTTTCATTCTTGGACTCTTCGAACTTTAGGGGGCAGCTTCTTCTTCTTCTTGTATTTTTTTTTTCACCGATATTTTCTTAGATATTTTGCGGAAGATTGAAACATGGAGATGGTGCATTAGCTTGGAGAAGATGACCCATTGATATTGAAGGATTTTCTACCATTTCTCTCTTTATCAATAAGTTTTTCTTTTCACCTTTTTCATCAATGTTCTATAAGAAATTGTTAGTTATTTGTGAATATTTCATGGGTAACTAAATATATATTGTGATTGGGGATTATTTCAAACCCGATTTATGATTTTCAATTAATTTGTCATTTATAATTCTCTTGATTAATGTGTTTAATCCATTGTGTTAGATATTTATTTTGTTCTTCTTGATAGTTTAGGTGTATAACTAAATGATTAAGTTGTTTCGATGGATGCTATTTTGGGATTAGTAGTACGTGATAGCTATTGATTCTAAAACCTAGTAGCAATTACATTTCGATAGATTATGAAGAATTTTCAATTGAATGTATGTGGATTAACACTTAAGTTAGTAAATCGAGCTTGCGAATTTACCCTTAATTCAATTCATCTATTTTGTCATAGTGCGTTTGTTAAATCAAATTTAGAGAGCTTGTTCTAGGTTGTTTAATGAATATGATTGAGTAAAGAACTTGTTTTATTCACTAGCATGTAAGAAGAGATTGAGGTAATTGAGCTTATAATTATTTTCGAATTGTTGTTAATTTTGAGAACGAAAATCTATTGTGGTAATTGACTTGAAAATCATTCTCGTGGTGACAAAATATCCCCCAATCATATTTTCCCGCATTCAATCAAGAACCACTTTGTTTGTTTCAGATTTCAAGTCTCTTCTAATTTAAATTTATCGTTTTCCTTAGTTCAACAAACCAAAACCCCCCATTTAATCTAATTCATCTATTATTATTAATTTTACCTTTTAGTGCGCAATTGACATAATTGAATCAATCCTTTGCTTGGAAATGACCCTTATTTGCCATAATACTATTTAAAACAACACATTTAAGTTAAGTAAGGAAAATTAATTGGAACATGATTTGGAACGTATCATTACTATTTAGGGTTGTGGTGGTAGTTTGTGGAGGTAGGTTGTAGTTTGTGGAAATCTGTGTTGGATGTGTGTAGTGCATTTTTAGGCAATGGTGATAGGTTATGGTGAAGATCTATGTGCGATGCGGTAGTGATGTGGGTGGTGGCATTGTGGAGGTACTGTTGTGTCCATGGTTGTAGGGCGAAATGGGTTGGATGGAAGCGTTGTGACCTGGATAAATGTGATCAATAAAATTAATAAATTGTAATGGTCAATTGATAAGTGCATTTTTGTACACTTATTTAATATTTAAACTAAACTTATTATTGATTAAGTGAGTGAATTAATATTCACAATTGTGTAATTTATGATTTTATAGGTAAAAATAACCAAAGCGAATAAAGCAAAATGAGGGGGAAATGGACTAAAAGTGTGCAAAATTGTGAATTTCATGTCCAAAGTGAACAAGTTTAGAAAACCTGGGTGGAATTTATCGAGGACATGATTGAAATGAATGTCAAAATTTGAGGATCAAACTGTACAAGATTAAAGTTGAGGGACCTTGAGTGCAAATTGATAGAGGACTTGTGTGCAAAAATGAAAAAATAAAATAAAAAAAGAAGAAGAAGAAATGAAACCATTTGGTAGAGAATTGGCACCTAGGTGCCATTTTTAATTGCAAAAATAGGGAAGATTGCAACAAAAGCCACAAACCTTTAAAACATTTGTAGACTTTCCCCAAACCTTTGATTTGTGGCAGCAGTCATCCCTAACCTTTATATTCGTTGCAGTGAAGGCCCTTTTGAACGGAAATCGTCCAAACGCCCGTCAGTTGACCGTCCAAATAAAAAATTAACCACTTTTAACCAAAATAAAAGAGGATAAAATCGTCCAAACAATTCAAACACATTTTCATGCCATTTTTTACTTGTTCGGTTCCCTTCAAATGAAGAATACAAGTACAACCCTAATAAATTGTCTGTCAGTTGTCAATTTCTCACTCTTTAGCAACATCCTAAACCGAACGTAGAAGTAATGGAGATGCCAGTGTGCAAGTGCGGAACTCGTGCCCAGATGAAGACATCGTGGACTAACTTGAACCCAGGTAGACGATTTCTTACCTGTCCACGAGGTATGGATCTGCACGGTTGTACGTTATTTCTTTAGTGGGATCTCCCAATGTATCAGAGATCAAGGGAGCTGATACTTGGTCTTCTGAGGTCGAGACGAGAGATGGAAGTTGAAATTAGGTAACTCCGTTCGAATGGAGGTGGGGTATGAAAGATTTGGTTTTGTGGGTTTGTATGTGGAATGTTTGTGAAGTGGATTTGCAGTTAAATATGCATAGGGGGTTTTCAGGTTTTTTACCTGGATCTGTAATCATCATTTCTTCATGGTGTAACCTACTTCCCTTATGTTAATGAAGTCTTAAATGCAGTTGCAATTTTGTGGTGTTTTGTACATGTTCACTGTTAACATTGACCAATTTTGTTGTCGAATAAATATGCAAATATTAACACCCAAACGTTTGGTAAATCTTGTAGTGAAAACCCCAAACGTTAGGTATATAGTGCAGATAAAGCCCCCAACATTTCGTATGTTGTGGATTGTTGGTCCCATACCTTTGAAAAAACGGTGGAAAATGCCCCTTTTCTATTCAACTGCTTACAATAGATACCCCGTCACTTTAACAACAGTTTTCAGTACAAAATTAACAACAGCTTCAAGTGTAGATGCAACATAAAAACCTGTATACATTGGTAGCACACATTAATTTATAAAATCTAATATACGACATCACAAATGAAACTTCAACCCTCACAATGAAGAGTATTTTTACACTTAACACATATATTGTCATGGTACCATTCCCAAAACATCAAAATCCATAATTCATTCCAAAAAGTTCAATTACATTTCTACATCCAATGACATCTAGACTGCTTTGGACTTCTTTCCCTTCCGATTCTGTGACTGTGACTGTGGTGCATTTTCCTTTGAGGTAGCTGCAGCTCTCTCTCTCTCTCTTCCGCTTCTGTGACTGTGGTACATCAATAGGCTACGTTTGTGCAGTGCATATTCTCTTATTGTGTTCAGCTTCTCCACACCTTCTACACGTCATTTGCATGCCTGTTCAGGTCATTTTAACTCCAGTGGGTGGTTTGGTCTGAGATTTCTGAGCTTTTTAGGCCTACCTACCTGCTTCTTCTTCACTGGTGGCTTCAATGGGTGTTTTCCTAATTTAGGCCAAAGTTCGGGCCCTGACATTGGCTGAATCACGGGGTTGTATGCCATCAAATATCTCTCCTTCTTGTAATATTCATCTACAAATTCATCTATGTCTATTCTCCTTGACAGCATACCAAAAACGACATGTGCACAGGGAATTCCACTCAGTTGCCATTTCCTATATGCACATCCTTTCATTACCAAATCCACACTCCACCTCAAACCATCTATGTTACGAACTTCAAATTTTTGATTACTTGCATAATCTGCCCTCATAAACCTTGCGTCTGATTTAGCCTTCTCAATTATCCCTACAATTTTTGGACCATATGCACAATCCCACCTTTGAGCTATCTCCCTCTTTGCAGCCATCCGTGTCATTTGTTGATGCCTTATCTTATCTAACATTGTGATTATAGGCTTTTCTCTAGCTACAACGATGGATGCATTGAAAGCTTCGCACAAGTTATTCAACAAGATATCGCACTTCATATGCTCCTAGGGATCTCGTCCATTGAGCTATAGGCTTCTCCTTAAGCCAACAGAAGGCTTCTTCATTCACCATCTTCATCTCATTCATAACTGCATTCCACTCTGGTACAATTGTAGCCCTTTATGTTTGAGAGTGAAATTGTTGTACAAATGTCTAGCGCAGCATCTGTGTTCTGCACCTTCACAACACTAATTTAGGGCTTCAACCAATCCTTTTTGCTTGTCGGATATGAAAGTCTAAGCCCTACTATTATACTATA